AAGCTACTTGACAACTGGGTAAGCTTATCCTTTAAGTGTCTTCTTACTAGGCAGAAGAATTATCCCACTTAGATTCAGAGACCTCAGCAGAGAAGAATGAGGGCTGGGAGTGTGTGAATACCCATGCACTATGTCTCTTGAAACTTCAGTCTTTCCTAAGTGTAATTGCTTTTCTTGTCATGCTTGTTAAGCACGCTGCACTGCCCGTGTGATTCCATGAGATACTTTGTTACTCCTCTCACTTAATTTAGTCCAATTAGATTTTGGCAACCCTGGACACAAAGGATCTACCTATCAGATAGAGTGCTTCTGCTTGGGGAGAATGTGATTAAAGTTCCCTTGGGTGGAACTGAGGCATTTCTCTTCCGCAAAGCTGCTGCAGTAATTTGGACTTGCATGGAATGTGACAGGGATCACATTCAGTTCACCGTGCTGGTCTCCTGGTAGTCTGGCACCACCAGTCACCTTGTTAGTTTGTTTTAATTACTGTTCAGCACATACCTATGCCAAAAAGTCCTGAAGAGCTTTGCCTTGGGAAAGTTGAAAGGCAACTCCCTCTGTCTAATCAGGCTGTGAAGTGGTGTCTTTCTTTGTAAAGGACTCACAAAATATGTTAATTGGCGTGTTAATTCCCTATCTAAAGTGAAATCCAGTAAGAACCTTTAGCAGCAGCTTAGGGTACAGGTTCAAGAAAACTCTTCTGATACAAAGACCAAGTAGAACTAGATCTGGGAACCAGATTGTGTGCACAAATGTGTTTGAACAAACAAGAAACTACCCTGGGACTGCAGGATGGGATGGGTTTGTTTTTCCTTATCCTGCAGAGGTACAGGATTCTCACAAATTCTCCAGTTATTGCCCCTTGAGACCTTGGAGGACTTCCCACTGCAGGTTTTCTTTTTTGGCAAACCATTCAGCTCCATTTTCCTTCTTTACATAAAAGACAACTCTAAAACTGGCAGGAGCACAGCAACAGCTCAGTCCAGCATCAACCTTAGTTAGAACTACCAAGGTCACAATATACTTCTTACTCTAATTGCATGCAAATTCAGGTAAGATGTTTCTGATTGATGAAGATTATGATAAAGGAATAATAAAGTGATTCCTTCAGAGCAACAAAGAGACAAGTGCCTGGTGTTAAAACACGGGCAGGATCTTTGAGCATGCAGCAAGGAAAGGGTTGCAATCATCTCCTAAATGTACTCCATGTAAATAAGGAGTTGTAAAATGTGATTTACATTACTGAGTTGCTTACCTCTCCTGTTTTGACTATATAGGAAATATTGGTGATTCATCATGCAGATATACAGGCTGAGGGGCTGGAACTACTTAGTGGGAAGCCCTACAGAGAGGAGCATGTCATAATTGGCTCCTGAGTCATCAGAATGATGATTCTTCTGCTGCATATCAGTACCTAGCACCAGGGAAGGTAGCAGCAACCTATGCTTTTGCACAGTAACTTCGTGGCTCAAGGATCAGGAAGTTGAAGACCTAGAACTCACAACAGCTTCAAAGTCTTGAATCCCCAGGCTACAGGATTGTAAAATGCTTTTTACTACTCCCACTGCAGCTGGACCTTGTGCGGAAGAGAATGGAGGATTCACAGGATCAGCAACAGATGAAGTTTATGGAAGTTTTGACTCCGTAACCCAGTAAGATTCCTCCAGCAGAGCAGAGCTGTAGATTATGACCCCTGCTTCAAATGTTCACTACGTGTTTTGTTTAATGATACTCTGGTGAATACTGAAGTCCCTAGAGTCCCATTGTACCTCAAACCAATTGTTATTCTTGCAAAGAAAACCACTGCTCAGCTCCCCTCACCTGACAGTGGCACGTTACTTGGCAAGTTCCAGGCTCCCAAAGGGATCTCCAGATTAAGGCTGGAGAATGTAGAATCCTGAAGACCCTTCAAAGGACTTATAAAGGGCCAAAAGAGGCATAAAGTCATTGTGCTACTTATTCCCCATCTACAGAACTTGACATATGGGGTTTCTTTTCATAGAAAGTTCATCTCCGTAGTGAGAGCAGAGGGAGCATGCAGGGAATGAGGAGAAGAGGCAGAGATCATTCAGTGGAGTTGTATGGGATTGTGTGTACAAATGTGTTTAAACAAACAAGAAATTACCCTGGGACTGCAGGATGGGACGGGTTTGTTTTGATTCTGTAACCCAGTAAGATCCTCTGTGAGAGTATCCTCTCTGTGGAGTCATGTCAAATGTTCCTGTATCTCCCAAATCAGCCTCTTCAAATGTCCAGTGAAGTGCAGAAGGACAGAAGGATCAGAGAGCTCTTAGAGTACTGATCACATCTTGGAGTACTGATCAATCATAGAGTACTGATCACAATGCAAATGGGCTTCATCCAAAAACTACTGAGTTGAATAAAAGTTCTCCCAACCACAATTCTTCTTGATCATTAAACCCCAGCAATTCAAGGCCCAGCAAAGTGATGCATATCTAAGATGTGAATCCAGATACTGAATCCGCATATGAATTTGAACATCTTCTTTCAGTACATGCTTGAATAGGGCACAATCCTACAGCCTGGAAGAAATTAATTGTGCCACTCATTAAAAGCCAAAGAGGAGACTAACAAAAAAAAAATCCATTGATCACAAAATTGAAAAGCCTTGAAAGTGTTCATAAATATTCTCTATCAGGCCCTGCAGCTGCCTGCCTTTTGGTGTTGGGAGCACCAAACTCAATTTGCACACCTTTCAGATTTAAAATGGTATTTACAAGGATTAAATTCTCAGAAAACTGTGCATTTCACTGCAATTTCTGAATCAGCACTGTCCCATTAACCCAGCAGGAGGACTTAGCTGGCACAAACACACAACTCCTCATTATGTCTGTCAAATAATATAGCAAAGTCAGGAGAAAATGTCCTAACTCATAGGTGGCAAAGCTGAATCTATAGAATTTTTGGAGGCCTGTTCAGATGAGCTTATAGTAATGTTATTGTAACCACAATATTTTGACAGATGAAAGGAAGTAATTATAAGAAGAAATAATATTTTTATTAGTACAGATTTTATATTTGGAAAAGCAAGCATGTTTTTTTGGAGTGCAAACCCACCCTCAGGTCTGAAACCAGAGCCTTTTCACTGACCAGAGTGGCAGCTCTGAACAAAAGCTCTTACCTTGCACCACTTTCTTTACAGCAAAACTGCAAAAAAAATTTCTCCTCTTTCTCAACACATCTTATTACTCAGGAAAAAACCACAACAAACTAAGAATCAATTACACAGTCAATATTAATTATATCATTCATAAAAAATCAATTAACTGGAAAATATCATGCAGTACTTTAACACTTAGAAATAAAAATCCCAGCAGATATAGGCTTGTGCACCTTCCCAACACTTCTTGCCTGCCATTTTCTGTTACCTGTCCCACTCCCTCCCTCTCACTGAACCTTAGGAGTCCTTGGGCTTTCTTTCAGTAATGTATCTTCTTCCAAATCCATAGAATCATAGAATTTTAATGGTTGGAATGGACCTTACAGGTCATCTAGTCCCAACACCTCCTGCCATGGGCAGGGACACCTCCTCACTAGATCAGGTTGCTCAAGGCCTCATCCAGCCTGGCCTTGAACACTGCCAGGGTCGAGGCAGCCACCACATCCCTGGGCAACCTATGCCAGTGTCTCACCATCCTCATAGTAAAAACGTTTCTCACAAATAGTTCTCTACAGCCTACTTTCTGTATTCCAGTAATGTTTCCTTCTTATCCTTAGAATCTACTGCACCTTAACAATAAGAAAGTTTTCCTGGACTTCAACAATTATTTTCTGATTTTTTATTTACCCTTCTATAACTGTCTGGTGTCTTTTCACCTCCGACAATACCTATTTCATGCCATAGTGGAAAGGTAGAGAAAGCAAAGTTCCTTGGCGACTTTTAGATCTATTTTACAAACACACAAAAGTTCAACAGAATTGGTCTTCAGAATATAAGCTTTCTTTCCAAGGTTCCAAGCTTGTCTTTTTCTGATAGCATTTCATAGAATCATAGAGTCATAGAATTTTAGGGGTTGGAATGGACCTTAAAGATCATCTAGTCCCAACCCCCTGCTCAGGTTGAGTCTCTGTGGTGGAAGAGACTGGGGACTCTCCCACCACATCAGGTTGCTCAAGGCTTCATCCAACCTGGCTTTGAACACTGCCAGGGTTGGGGCAGCCACCACTTCCCTGGGCAACCTGTGCCAGTGTCTCACCGCCCTCACAGGAAAAACCTTTTGCTCACATCCAGCCTAGACTTTCCCTCCCTCAAATTGAACCCATTGCCCCTTGTCCTGTCACTGCAGCTCCTAACCAAGAGCCCCTCTATAGCTTGCCTGTAGCCCCTTCAGATACTGAAAGGCTGCTATGAGGTCTCCACACAACCTTCTCTTCCAGGCTGAACAGCCCCAACTTCCTCAGCCTGTCCTCATAGGGGAGATGCTCCAGTCCTCTATCAACTTTGTGTTCTCTGGACTTGCTCCAGCAGTTCCATGTCCTTCTTATGCTGAGGACACCAGAACTGTGTGCAGTATTCCAGGTGGGTCTCAACAGAGCAGAGGGGAAGAATCACCTCCTTTAACATCCTGGCCACACTCCTTTGGATGCAGCCCAGGATTAGGTTGGCTTTCTGGGCTGCTGGATTTATCATGCTGATAAGTCTGTGTTTCCTGCCATGAATTTGGCCAGGCAAACTGGTACAATTACAAGATGATTGTGATCTGTCACAGGATTAGTAGGAGGATAAGCTGTTCATTGTGAATGAGCCCAAAAGTTTGCAAAACACCAAAGGGCAGTATTTATACTGTCTTTCATGTCAAATCTGTGAAGGCCATTGAGAAGGATATTGAGCTACTTCAAGGTTTTTAACATGTTAGACTGGAAGCTTGAAAATTGAAGTGGTGTTTATTTGTTAATAGGTTTGAGGGTTTGTTTTCATCTGATAGTTGTAACCTCTTTTAGCTACCTGCCTCTTTTTGGTATTTGTTAATCTTTTCCATTTAACAGATTTCTTTGATCCTCAAAGATTGCTGCCAGGAAAAGTAATCATCAGACTTCAGGTTTTTGAAAAGCTGAATAGCCTGCATTTTTGACACATCCTTTTCCTTGCCAGTGATGGTTTCATCATCAGACACAGGCTTCCCAAGTGTTGGCTTGTCTTCAGAAAGTTTCTTGGCTTGGTGTTCCTCCTGACTATTGTCCATCTTCACATTGGACTTTAGGCTGTGGAAGCAATAGTCACCAACCTGACAAAGGAAAACTGGCTCAATGCTGTCAGGGTTTAACACTACCAAGTTGCCCTCTGACAAAGGCTGCTTTCCGGGAAGACTGCTTCCCTTCTGTAAGGCAGTGGGTTCTGAATGTCCAGGGAGGCCTAAGGGCACAGTAAGATAGTCTCCAAATGTATCCAGGTGCAATTCAGGAGAAGAGGTTGGTGCTTGGTCTGAAACTGGGACCATGACACCAGTTTTCCCAGGAGAAACCTCATGGCAAGAGTGGTCACTGAGGGGCTGGGGCTCCTGGGAGCCACCAGGTGACTCCTCAGCAATGACAAGTGGAGGATGGGTGGCAGCACTGGCTGATGGCAGTAACAGGCTTTCCGTGGTGATGTAGTCTAAGGGGCACTGCTGAGGAGATGTGGTACAGCTAGGAACCTTCGGAGAGTTCTCCAGAGAGTTCTGCTCTTCTGTTCTCATGTTCCTGTCTTTCGCACAGGCTGGTGGGGCTGGTGAGACTTCTTCCTTATCACTGAGGTGCTGCATCATTTCCTTCTGATCTTGTAGCAGGTTAGGCTTTGGAGGACCTGCTCCAGGCTGTTCTTGCTTCTGTGGAGCCTGGGTACAGTCTTCCCTTGGAATTGTCACATACTGAAGGGAAACTGATTTCTCAGAGAGTCCCGTAGAGTCCAGTTCCAAGCTCTGACATACATCAGGCTGGGAGGACATCACTGGGCTGTACAAGTATGGACCATTGAAAGCACAGCAAGGGGTCACTACGTGGGAAGCAATACTTGCATCAGTACTGTTTCTCCTCAAAACAGGAAGGGGATGACCAGCAATCTGCCTTGAGCAGATAACTGGGGTGTGCTCTGGCTCATTTAAAGCGTGGTATGAGTTCTGCAGGTCTGGTGCAACAGTGGAAATATCTGTCTTTTTAGCCTGTCCTTCAAGGCACTCTGCCAAAGTCTTCACCTGCCTGAATGTGGGAAAGGTAAAAGTTGCTCATGAGGGAGATTATTGCAGTAAACATTAAATACAAAACAAGCTTAGCTGAAAACACACATAACTACACACAGGCTTAGAAAAAAATTTCCTTGGAGAAGCAATCTAACCTAGGTAGCAAAAAATTGTATCCCCTCCTCAAAAGCAACTTGTATAGGCTTTCCAGTGAGAGAACTTTTGATTCTATCCTGCCATGATGCAGGGAGATCTCAGAGCCTATCATCCCCAGTGTGACTATGATGTGCTGTTCACTCACCTGTCCAGAACTTGAAGGAAGCTAGCCTGCTCCATCTTCTCTGGAAGGTTGTGTTTGTTGAAGTCCAGCTGGCTGCTTGTTGGCCAGTCTCCCAAATGTGCTTTCTGAAAATGCAAAAGCAGACATGATCAAAGAGCAGTGTCTCACTGACAGAAGAATCAGGACCTGTACATTCCTCAAGGACAAAGAAGACAAATAAGAAAGTCTATATCATCTGGCAACAAGGATAACACTTTACTAATATGACTAGAAGGAGTGTTCTGTGCTCCAGAAGATGGTTACTTCAAACCCATTTTGCTTTACCACTGATCTCACCACAAGTTCTCAGTAAATCAACTTAGAAAAACACCCCAAGACTTGTGATTTATGAAGGAAGGACTTGAGACCGATTTGATAGTGAGTGGCTGTCTTGGCCACGGTGATCATGAAATGACAATTTAAAATGTTCAGAGTAATGGGGGGAAAAAGAACAGTAGAGATGCTACTCTGGATTTCAAGAGAGCAAATTTTAAGCTCTTCAGGGAGCTACTTGGCAGTCTCCCTTAGGAATCTGCTTCTGAGGCTTTGTGAGTCCACAAGTGCTGGAGAGTTTTCAAGAGCCTCCAGGGACAAGAGGCCTTGCAGAGGGGTCTAGATACATTGGAGCATTGGACAGTCATCAGTGGAATGAAATGTAACAAGTCCAAATGCCAGATTCTGCACCTGGGACAGAGTAACACCAAGCCAAAGTATAAACTGGGAGAGGAGGAACTGGAGAGCAGCCCTGCAGAGAGAGGTCTGACAGGCTCAGTATCAGTCAGCAGTGTGTGCCCTGGCAGCCAGGAGGGCAAACAGCATCCTGGGGTGCATCAAACACAGCATCACCAGCTGGGCAAAAGAGGTGATTATCTTCCTGTATTTATCAATGATGTGGCCTCACCTTGTGTACTGTGTGCAGTTCTGCACCCCACAATTTAAGAAGGATTTTAAGGTACTCAGATGTGTCCAGAGGAGAGCAACAAAACTGGTGAAAGGGTTAGTTTGGAGAAAAAAAGGCTGACAGTCAACTTTATCTCTCTCTCTAGCTTCTTGAGGAGGGGAAGTGGAGAGGGATGTGCTGGTCTCTTCTCCTGGATACCCAGTTGATCAGCATCAGCTGATGAAGTTTGCTAGTGACACTAGATTATTTCGATTGGTTAAAATTTGAAAGTACAGAAAATTTTCTAGCTTGATTTTAAATCACAATGAAGCTAACAAGTACAACACAAAGAAGCCTGCTAGTATAAATACAACACTGTTGAGGAAGACCAGAACTGCTCCTAAAAATAAGTCATAGACTAATGAAGATATCTGTTCATTGTGGACTAGGAAACAAGAAGAGTTTCTTAAGATTAACAATTTTAAGATTATTTTAAGTCCTGAAAAAGAGACAGAACTAATGAACCCTTCAAGGTACAGTTCCCTCTTACCCCCAGGTAACTCTGGATCAGGACACTCTTGCTGGGGTTTGGAATCTTTTCCTCCCACATTTTCTTCTTCCTGCAGTAACAACACAGACACTTCAAGATTTGCTTCTTAACGTGGCTGTAAGCAGAAAGGACTGTGCCTCATACACTGCTGCTCTGCACAGCACAGCACCACTGAGGCACTGGTACAGCATCACTCAACTCTCACCCTTGCACAGACATGCACAAGGCTGCCCATTGCACTCCAAGGCTCATCTCCACACAGACCTCTCTCTCCTGTGGCCGAGAGATGCCTCAAGCTTTATGTCACTCACATGGCCAACAAGCTGCTAAATCTCCTAGTAGCAATGCAGGCTTACCTGAGGAAATACTTATAGCTGCAATAAGCAACTATTAGCAGAGGGATGATGAGAGTTGTGAGTGCCACTGGGAGAACAAATGGTGACAGAACTGAAACAGAGAAAAGAGAAACGGGTTTTTCAGTCTGGTCACTCTTCATACAGACAGTTCATACATTACATACAGATTACGTACAGGGAAATGTGGATGACATGTCAAGGGATAGGATCATGAAACCTTCAGACTGTTGGGATATCCTCCAAAGTGGGACAGACCAAACTTACTGACTGAAGGAGTTCATTGTTTCCTTTACTGATTCATTTTTAAGGTTTAGTGACATCAGAGTAAACAATTTATGCTAACAATATGATGGTTAGGAACCTTACTCCCCAATGAACAATAGGCATGTCTTCGAGCATCTTAGCTCTGCCTGATCTCGTACAGTCCTGATCTTGTACAGTCCTGAAGAGATGGAGTCTCAGAGATTTGCTAAGTAAGAGTTTCCTCTGCTAACAGCCACAACAGCATGCCAGTTTCTTCCTGAATACACTCATCAAAAATTACCTACTTGCTTACTACAAGCTTCCTCAGGACAAATCATGTAGGATGATATTGCCTGGGCACAAGAAGGTATGATGACAGACATTCTGCCTCTATGTCCAGAAACAGCAAAAACACATCAAGGTTTTGTCTCCAGCAGACTCCACTGTATGCTTTATGCCACCCTGTAGTCACTCTGCAAACGTAGAACACTGATTACTTATACTGTATCTTCTTGCAGTCTCAGGCACTTCCGTCACTGACAGAGAATGGACACAGACAGAATGGACTGGTGCAATCAGGAAATAAAGACGATCTTTTGTGCAGGAAAGAACATTGAAAGGTCATTCACTTCCTGCACTAGCATTGCTGCTGTACTGCAAGGATGCAGGCAGGACAGCCACCTTGTTAAACAACCCCAGATAGCTCATGGCTGCACCTCACTCCAACCCCAGGTGAGAGGAAGTGTTTTTCTAAAGAGGCATTTCAGCTATTAGCGTTCCACAAAAACCTCATTGAACCAGTCTGCACAAAAAGTACCATTCTCAGTCTTCCAGGTGAACTCCTCGCTCCATTCACTCCAAGGCCCCTCATAAATCACAGGTGTATTGACCCTTGCACGCATTTTCCCCCTGTACTCTGTAGATGCTGCCAGCATCTGCAGGGTGAAGATGAAGGGAGGTTCATCATTGCTGATGTTTAACTCCTGGAGAGTCTGGGGAGAGGAAAGAAGCACAAATGACAGGGGTGAGAAGAACTGTCTTTCCATTTGACCAGCAAAGAAATATCCAGGACTCCTGCACTTTCTAAGTGTTACCTTTTCATATCGGTTGTTTTCCCAGTACTTGACTTGGTATCTCTGTGTTATATAGCCATATTTCAAAGTGTGTTTTGTCCACCTCAGTTCATACTCTTGGTTCTCTATCGCTGTTACTGACACATTTGCAGGCGGCAGCACCTTAACTGGAACACACACAATGTCACAGGGCACTTACCAACCTACTGGTCCAGCACTCTCTTTCCCCACTGTGAATCATTTCCAGGGACTAAAAACAAGATTGCTTTGTGCAATGTAAGAAGTCTCAGCTTTATAACACCTCTTAATGCTCTGCATCTTCATTTTCTAGTCAAATGCAATAAACCAGTAGATCACCAAATAACAGAAAATCCATACCCATGACTATTGACAGCATTGCCAATGTACAGAAAAGCAGAGAAGCAATAATTGAAACATCTGTACTGCTCCAACACATTCCCAGAAATTTTCAGCTCTGTTGGAGCTACCTCCTGATATTTTCACCCACTGCAGGAGCTCTCCTAGCATTAGTCTGTGAAAAGTAGCCCAAATACCTCTAGATACATGCAGGCAGAGATGATCCACCTGGCACACCTCAGTGGGTGGAGGATTTGTGCCTCATCCAATGTTCCAGGGGCCATGCATGGCACAAACCCACAAGAGCTCCACTGGCTTCTTAAGAAATCACACACTCCCTACAAACACCTCTCTCCACAGCTCCCTGTTACCTAGGACACTCATGGAAGTCAATGACAGAGAAGTCAGCAAGGTGACAGTCACTCACTGAGAAGCTCTGGGTCACAACCTGAATTTCTGCACAGCAGTTTCTACCTCTACCACCTTCCTCAGAGTAATGAGTGCCACTGAGGAATTCTACACCTATATCCCTGAGCTGTGGCCTGATAAAATTGCTTTCTTCATCAGTAACTGTTTCTTCCTCTCCCCACTCCCTTCTCTCCATTGCCACTGTCCCCAGCCCCTCTGGGTCAGACAGGCTTCTCTCCAAGAAACAAGGAGGAGAAGCAAGAAACAACACTACTACAATAACTCACTGTTCTTATAGGTTTTAATCAGTTTCTCCTCTGTCTTGGCCCGGACAGACACACTGTACTGGCTCTGGCTGCTGAAATTGCTCACAGGGATCTCACAGCTCTGAGCCACGTATGGGACGTGGGGTAAAATCTTCTCACGGACAGGGAAGCACTCCTCTTCGCTGAGGGGAGAAAAAGAGGTTGAACTGAGATCAGGGGAAAGGGACAGAAGTGGAAACCCCATGGGAGAGGCCCAGACATGTTGCCATCAGCAGAGGACATACCCTGATTCTGGGGCAGCGCTGAAGAACAAGCCAAAGACGATAGAGGTGGTGATCACTTTCTTCACTTCCCAGCTGCACGTCAGGCGATCTCCACCATTGAAGAGGCAGCGAAGGTTCCTGGGCTGAAGACCACCTTCAGAGAAGACAAGTGCAAGCTAAGTAACAGAAAAGTTCTGGCTTCTCAGCCAGAGCTTCCATCCCCGCATGGCTCCACTCCATCGCGTGCTGCTACCTTCAGGGGTCTTCCATGATGCCTCCGAGCTCCACTCACTGTACTGCCCAGAGAAACCACTGTCCTGTCCCGGTCTGGCTCGCACACGGGCAATGTAGCTGCTCCCCAGGACAAGGTTCTCATGGCTGAGATGGCAACGTGTGGTGTTGGAGAGCAAGAGCGAGACAGCTTCCTGTTGTTGGAGGAAACAACACAGAGAGAGAGCTCGTAGGTCTGAGGAGAAGGACCTGGGGGTGCTAGTGGATGACAAGCTGTCCGTGAGCCAGCAGTGTGCCCTTGTGGCCCAGAAGGCCAATGGAACCCTGGGATGCATCAGGAAAAATATTGCCATCAGATCAAGGGAGGTGATCCTGCCTCTCTACTCAGCCCTTGTAAGGCCACACCTGGAGTATTGTGTCAGTTCTGGGCTCCTCAGTGTCAGAGGGACATGGAGTTCCTGGAGCAGGTCCAGTGCAGGCCAAGAAAGATGATTCAAGGCCTCTCTGCCTCCTCTCACTGATGAGGAAAGGCTGAGGGAGCTGGGCCTGATCAGCCTCATGAAGAGACAACTGAGAGGGACCTCCTCAATGTCTGCATGTATCTGAAGGGGAGATGCCAAGAAGATGGAGCCAGGCTCTTCTCAGTGGTGCAAACCACTGTTCTGGGAAAGGAGGGAGAAGAAGGAAGGGAGGAAATTGGTGAGCTGGGGAATGGAGAAGAGGGGTGAAGGCTGAGGGAGCTGGGCCTGATCAGCCTCATGAAGAGACAACTGAGAGGGACCTCCTCAATGTCTGCATGTATCTGAAGGGGAGATGCCAAGAAGATGGAGCCAGGCTCTTCTCAGTGGTGCAAACCACTGTTCTGGGAAAGGAGGGAGAAGAAGGAAGGGAGGAAATTGGTGAGCTGGGGAATGGAGAAGAGGGGTGATGGA